TCTATTTGAAGACCTACCGAGTCCGGCTGATATAACAATGATGGCAACCCTGATGAAATGTCAGACTCTTAAACTGTCTCATTAGAGTGCCGATATGAGTCGTTATCTACATGGGTGCAATGCTGATTTCACACTTGAACCAGTCAAGGCGCGTGAGTCAGCCTCTCCTTTCTCTCCAATCAAAACGCTAGTTAAAGGGCAGTCACGGTCACGGCAGTGTCGCACCGCAGACTTTTTCTCCAAGTGATTAAATGTATACATAAAATTTGGAGGATATTCAATTAAAAAAAAGTGTTTGCCAATTTTTTTGGGTTGGCTTGCTGWAGCTCGACCTTTGGATGAGATATCCTTGTCATCCTTGGCAAAACAGCTTTATCTAAAATACAGACGTAGATCTAACGCATTGTGCGAGAAGTAATAAACATATTTCATTATAAAAACGTGGAGGTTCTCATTTGAAATTGTGAAAAAGGGCTCAACATTGAACTACAAATTTTATAGAATTTTTCAAACACCTTAGATAAGCATAACCAAGGTGAGTTATAATGGCCGTGACAGAAATTGTTGCCGTGTTGTGACTGCAAAAAAAGTGGTTTTCACCCATTTCGCTAAAACTTTTCCGTCTCCCCCAATCGTCTTGTTTCATCTCCTTATTTCCGTGACAACAATTTTTGTATCATGTCGTTATGTCTAAAACCAAACCTCGTATTAAATAAAAGCTCGATATAWCAGAAAGTCCACGATATAACAATGAACTAACGTCATAGCTGAGCCATGTGATGAGGTCACCRAGTTCACAGACGCTTCAAGGTGTGACACTCTCCAAGAGTTGGCGGTTTTTGGAATGTCATAGAAAATATTTTTTTCAAAGCAATTAGAGAYTACCCAGCTTTGAAATTCATACTGTCCAAAGAGGAATAAATTTTCTAAGGAATGGTATCAAAATTTTAAAATAAACTTGATAATTAAGGTAGTTTAACGTGGGTTAATTTTAGGAAATTTGATGAAAATTTTGTAAGAACGATTGTTTGCGCATGCTGTTTTTGGCGATGCCGACTTAGTGGCGTAGTTTCCGGTAGATTGAAAAATCATATCAGGTTTCTYTAATTTCCTTGACTTTTTAATGCCGAAAAACTCCTTATTGCTGGCTCTTTTGAAGCTCTACAGGCTTACAGAGGGAATGGATAAAAACTAGGTTGATAAAAGAGACCGAAGTTGATAAATACTTCAGATAAAAGGTTTGTATTGTCARTACATGCGCCTCTTTGTAGACTTCATATGTGGAAGAATTCACCAATCCCACTATAAATATGTGCTAATTCTCTCTTTAAAACCTTTAAAGACTGGATTTCTTTTCCCTATRAATGCAAACATGTTTAAATGAGCTTTTATGAACCTCCTGGAAGCTTAGAAGATACTATTTCATTCATTCGTCGGAGAAATAATCTTGTATAATGTAGCGTGATTCTCTATTGTTTTATAACTTCAGTGTACTAAAAATTTACGGAATAAATAGAACTATACGAAAGGTTTATTTATCCCTGAACTCAGCCTCAGCGGTTCCGAAGTACTTTTAAAAATTCGTAAGTCCATTATAACGTTTGTACGGCTCGAAATTCGCTTGTTATCTGTTGTGTTTTGGTGTTCAAATATTTGCCTTCTTTCAGCTTCACCCTTAGACCTTTCATGTTGAAAAATTACAGACTGCGGTTAATAAACCTTTCTTTCTTATCGAATAAATAGCTATATTAGTGCTTATTGGCAAAGATAACGTCTTTCTGGTCTTGAATTATTGTTTTATAAGAGTTTAAAAACCCAAGTCGTAGTTTAGTATTTATATTTATGGTAATTTTGATCAAATAATTCAAGTCTTTGTCAAGAATCGGTTATATTTTTATTTTGCTATTGCATTGTATTATTTAATGTAAGATTACGTAGTTCGGCTATTRAATTTCCAGAAATGTGTCCTGTGTTGTGTGTTATTTTGGACATTAGAGACAACATTTATTGTGTCGTTTGTACATAAGCTTAATTATTTCAACATTTCATTTTCGTTTTCAGCTGTGCAAGAACGTGAATATTCACAAAACCTGATCATTACATCATAGATCATTGACTTTTTCCACAACGGAAATACAATATATCAGAAAATCTTCGAGAACTATTAATATACTTTAGATTTAATAAATGGTAAAAACCATGAACTGCCATCAAAAGAGGTCAGATTCTGTCTGGGAATTTTCATATCAAGACTTGTGGTTGGCAAAATGAATATTGGAAGTCAGCATGTTTTAAGGATTTTTCCAGGTCTCTTAAGTCCCACAGTACAATCTACGGCCATCTCCGTTGGAGAGTTYGTGACTTCGCAAGAAGCCATCCAAGTTTGCCTCTCCAAGCTTTCTATAAGTGAATGCTCRGAGAATTTTGAACTGGTTGAAGTCTGCTATCGAAATAGTGTATTGGAGCATGAATCAGAAAAGGTTTTACAGGATTCYGATTTTCCAATTCAGTTAATAAAAGATTGGGAGAATCTTACACCATCTGCAAGAACATCATATAGATTGTTTATCAGAGAAAAGAAGCCRCCAGATTCTGTGGAAAGTAAGGTAGAACCACTACGGCAAAATTGGATGGACTGTCACGAAAGTATCAGAACGATGCCGAATTTTCAATTTGATTTAGAATCAAGGCTTGATGATGATGATTTGTGTGAACTGCCAAATCTGGATGAAGGGATGCTTCTCAAGCACTTGCAAGAAAGATTTGAGGAAGGACGAATTTACACTTAYGTAGGAGAAATTCTCCTGTCAGTCAATCCATTTCGGTTTTTCCCCATATATAACCCTAAATTCATTACRGCATACAATAACAAAAATCTTGGTACATTGCCACCTCATATTTTTGCTATCGCCGATATTTCATTTCATCGTATGTTGAAAGAAAAAAAGAACCAATGTATTGTAATCAGTGGAGAAAGTGGTTCAGGGAARACAGAGAGTACTAAACTTATTGTGCATCATCTGACTGCATTGAGTCGGAAGTCGCAAGCTACTACAATCGAGAAAACTGTCCTAGGGGTTGGTCCTGTCTTGGAGGTAAGTTCTGTTGGATTAGTTTTCCTCTTTAACTCTGCTGTAATGGGTTATAGACTCAAGCTCCAAAATATTCTTATTAATTATACATAACTGTTATTGCTTATACAGTTATATAGAGTGTTTGACAGATATTCGTCATTAATAGCTGTTATTCACTAGTTATTTTCTTACTAGTAAAGAAATAGAAATCGGGGGTGCGTGCTGTGTCCTGTTATAAAGCACATGGGGGTTGGCAGAACACAAGAGAAGTGTTAGGAGAAGCGTGACACATAGCGGAGGCAAGGGGGAGTGATTTTCAACCTAAGGGGGGGAAGAGTAGGTTGTTTTTCACAATGATTGCTTGCTATATCAGGGGCGCTTTTAAGATATAGTCATAATATACAAGGGACTGCATGTGCTTAAAACCAACACAATTGCGGTTGTATCTTATTGAAGTCATAATATAATCCACATATGGTGTAATTAAAGGGGTGTCATAAATCAAAACATTGYTATATCTATTACAAGGGATTTGCCAACTGACCCACAAAATTAATAATAACCCTTTTTGGCACATTTCTAAGATTTAAACCATTAGAGTTGCAGTGATAAATCATATCYATTGTATCTATATTTCAATTTAGTGCATAAAAATTTTAAATAAAAAAAATGTCTTTGATTAGAAAAAACTTTTTAGATTGGAAAAAATTTAGTTCGAAAAAATTGAAAAGAATTCTTATGAAGTAAATAAGGAATATGCCAAATTACTGTAAGTGATTGTAAGTTAATATTGTCATTTTTATAATGTTACATCCATGTTTGATTAAAATTTCCATCATTGTAATTTACSTATTTGTAGATCAAACTAGGCRTYATGCATATATCATAATMATTGGCCAATAGGTGGGCGTAAGATGACAAACTATGTTTTGGTTGATYGTTATTTAAATTRCCAACCTGAWATCTATTGGACAATCTGATAAAGCAAAGTGACAAAAASCTATTGTCAAAACGGTTGGCASATTAACATCACAATGGCAACATTTTTRAATATTATGTCTAGTTATAGAAACCAACACCAYTCTATTTTTCCATTCTATCATTCTGTTTCCTTGGAACTATACTTTTTTATTGTATTCTATTTTCCATCACATCCCATTCTTTTCCATGCCCTTCTATCCCATTCCATTCTATTCTGTTTCATTCTATTCCATTCTATTCCATTCTGTTATAATTTTTTCTTGTTCTGTTTCATTCTACTCCATTTCATACTCACCTATTATATTATTTCTTTATTCTATTTTTATAGAAATTGAATTTATGAGAAAAACTAGTGATCCAAGATGTCATCGAATCTCTGTAGTTATTTAATTTCTTTCAATTCTATTCTGTTTCATTCCATTTCCACATTATTCTATATTATATATATTTCCACATGTTGCATAACTACATGTTAACTTGGGCCCATTTGGTTTATCATTAYTTCTAATGTGGTTGACCATTAAAACCACATGTTTTTAATGTATTAAAAGCTRAAGCGAGATTCCTGTCTTTCAATTTGTTTGTAGCTGTACTTCATGGCTCTTAAGATTCTGTCATCGAATATCTTAACTAGTTTTTTTGTTTTTATTTTTATGATTAATGTGTTTAAAAAAAATTCTACATGTGTCAGGTGTAGAAAATATCYATACTGTACCTCCTCTAAAGAGGGGGATTGGGATTTCCAAGGGGTGGGGAGGGTCTGAGGAGGGTATATTGTGTAGTTCCAGAAAATATCCATACCTCCCCCACAGAGGGAGATTGGAATTCACAAGGAGTGGGGAGGGTCTGAGGAGGGTATATTGTGTAGTTCCAGAAAATATCCATACCTACCCCTCACAGAGGAGGATTGGGATTTCCAAGGGGTGGGGAGGGTCTGAGGAGGGTATATTGTGTAGTTCCAGAAAATATCC